GGGGCGGATGGAGGAAATGGGTAAGCCAGTTTTCTTTTTAGAAAAGAAAGCTTGACCTGACTGTGGAGTACTATTACATGGAGCTGACCACCAACGGAAAGCAGGAAATACGCAAACGAAGCTCCAGAGAGAGGGTTCTTGAACAGAGATACAGAGTAAGGATTCATCAAAACATAAACAGTATTTAAAGTCAAAGGAGTAGATAAGGTCCTACAGGAAGGGAGAACACCACAGTAAAAACGTGGGAAACAAACTTTTGAGAGACAGCAGAAAACAGGGACAGGTTTATGAAAAAACAACCATAAAAATAAAAGAGGTGAGCGATGGAGTCTTAAAATCCATGGAAAGAAAGGCTTGAAGAAAGAGAACATGTTCAGCAATATCAAACATTTTAGCTCATTAAACCTGCGTGGTTTAAATTATTACACCTGTTTTTACAATGAGAAAATCAATGCCCAGAATGCTCCCGGATGACAGAGCGCGCATACCAATAAACGGCGGATAAAACGCACATCTGCTGCTATCTAAGTCCACAGCCAATACTGTTCCCTCTAAGATCTATTGCTTCCCCTGCAACAGCTTTATTTAATGACCTAAAAGCTCCAGTTTCTTGATTTACCCTAAATTAAAATTCAGATAATCTCCCTCTTTAGGATTACGGGTTTCATGGAAGCAATAACTCGTTTCTCCCCTTCCTGATTCTGCCCTAAGTTCTGTGCTTTCATCAACCTAATCTGCTTCTAGTTCCCAGCAACCAGCTCGCCAATTTCTGCCACCATGTTTTTATCTATTCCACTCCCTTCTAACCGCAACGTGCCTTCCACTCTTCCTCACAGTCCGTGGTCCCAATGGCCTTCAAGGAGCAACTTATACCTCATCCTGCCCAAGAGCTTTCCCCAATTAACTCTCACAATTAGGAGTATTCCATCATTCTGTGCTTCCTTAGCATTATTTACAGACAAGAACAAAGAATTATGTGTCCTTTGCTTGCTTGAAAATTGCAAAGGCGTCTATTCTTTCTTCTCTATCATCCTACAAGCTCTTCAAGAAAAGCAGTGGCTTTCCAGTCTATTTTTAGCCTTATTAATGAAATAAAGATAAAAGTAGGAGCAGAGACGTGATGTTAATAAATGTGGATGTGGCTTGGCTGCCAGATACTCAAGAACAAAGAGTAGACTAAAATAAGCACCAAATGTCAGAGAAAGTAACCAGCTGTTCAGACTTTTAATGTGTTATGACATATAGCGGATAAGTGGCTATTGCAGATTTTATAGGAACAAGCTCTTTAGCCAGATTTAAATTGTTTTCTCAGAATAAAGGCACTTTAAATAACTATCTGAATAAACTGTGTTTTACAAGGTTGATCAACATCTGTACTTACACTGTTATATGTAACACAAATCAAAAGTATTTCCAATAAAATAGAACTATTATGTTCTTTCGACTTTCCCTTAAGCGTGTATTCTAAAAAAAAAAAATGTGCTCAAATATTATACTTGGGCAATGAACTGCTCTGCAGTGCAGTTAATGGCCAAGACATAGTTCCAGTGCTAACAGTATCTAAGGGCAACACACTATAAACCCTGGCTTGTTTCTGAATCTGCATTTCAAGGACAGAAGGAAACCAGTGAAACCAAAAAGAAACTCATATAAACACCCCAGCCCAGACACCATACAATAGGCAGTTATTTTTTTTGGAAGTCAGAGATAAAAACGAATCCCAGAACCATTCATTATTTCCATATTACTTATAACATACGCAAATATTCTCAGATTTCTTTTTTGTGGATTTGAACTCCCAAGTTCTTCCTTATTTTACATAAAAAGCGACTGAACACCTATACGCATAGAGCAGGCATACAGTGTACCAACTGGAAAGGCTCCATAATTGCTATTTCTCATTGAAGGCTCACAGATGAAGGTCAGAGAGTTTTGCACTTCAGGCAACCACTTTAAAATACACAAAAAAAGCAAAAATGTAAGACATTACAGATGTCATATACTGCACAGATTTTTGAAAAGAGCTATTGATTTCCCGAGATATTCTATTGCAACAGTTTGAGGAGACATATAATTAGTTGTATGTCTTAGTAACATTCACCAAGACTTTATACATCATGCCTGATAATGAGCTACAACTCTCCACACACAATTTCATTTAATCTTCACAACTCTCTGAGGTAAGTACAGATGTTACACACGAGAAAACTGAAGTCAAGAAAAATCACTAAATTGCCCAAAGTCACACAGCTAGTACATGTCAGTGGGAGAATTTAAACCCAGACAGCCTGATTCCCAGGCCCCAACTCCTAATCTCTTGATTAATTCCTACTTTTATTTCAAGCATTTTTCCAGTAAAAGTCAAAATAATATAATGGCATATTTTATAATGGGTGATGTGAACTTTAGAACTTCCAAGTTTCATGAAAGTTACCTAAACAGAAATTCATGTAAACACACAACTAACATGACTAATACAATGCCACAGTGGATGTAAACAGAAAAAAAGACTAGAACACACTCAAATTCACTGCATCCTACACTGTATCCAAAGACAAAATACTATTCCCAATGTTCATTAAAGAATCTTTGCTATCACCAGCAATTATTTATTATCAGTGTTTGCTTGTGCATTCCCAATTCATGCAACTAATATAATGAATTTCTGAAAATGTTCTAAATATTTAGGGTGCTAAGTAGTATGTTAGGGAATTATGCCAATGATCTTAAAGATGTCATTATGTTTCCAAACTTGCTAATTCACTCTAAGAGTGAAGATAAAGTTATTAAGAAGGAGCACTTGCCCAGGCTTATTTTCATATGTCAAAGCTCACAAATAAATTCAGAAAAAAAACTACCACCAAACAATTCCTTAAAACAACTACAGGCATGTACTCTACAATATATCAGTTACATATTTGTAAGAAACAAAGCCAATTAGAACATATATATCAGCAATCCAGAAAGCATCTTCAAATTATTAGTCCCTGAATTTTTCACACCTGCCATTCAAATGAAGCTTCCATCAGTTAAAAATTAGAAAACAATTGTTCTACTAAATCACTTAAAAGCAAATACATCAGCTGCTCAGCATTTCCAATACAGCAACCGTCCAGGTAAGAGCAGAATTTAGAGCACTTAGTAGGAATGCTAAGGAGCCCTGGTGGCAAAGCAGCACTAGCACTAGGCTGCTAACCTAACCGTCAAGGGTTTGAGCCCACCAGCTGTTCCGCGGAAGAAAGATGTGGCAGTCTGCTTCCATAAAGATTTACAGCCTTGGAAACCCTATGGGGCAGTTCTAAGTGCTACTCTGTCCTACAGGGTTGCTATGAGTCACGACCGACTCCATGGCAGTGGGTTTGGTGTTTAGTAGGAACGCTGCATCTAAACATAATTAATTTTACTCCAAAATTCAAAGAGATCCTAGAAATGAGAGGTACGTTAATAAAAGAATATGCAGAAAAAGATCCCTTCCCTCAAAGAAAACAATTGTTTTTAAATTTTATACAAGATAAACAAGTTAAAAATAAAGGATAGCATGAGGGCATCTAACTGTGGTAACTGAAAGCATCCATAAACATCTACATACCACTTGAAAACTTTCCTTACCATGTACTCCATATTGGAAGCTGTTGGATACACCTGACTTCGTAATTTATTATGAAGGTCCAAGATACTCTGCATATCATCGTCCATGATGGCTCTTTTTCCTCTCTGCTTGGCCGTCCACCACTCACCATCCTCATCCATGTACTTTTCCAAAAGTTTCTCCAGAAAAGTGGCATTAGGAACCACCATAGCTGGAATTGCTCTAGCCATGAATAGCACTGCGGTTACTTGGAGCCACTCCTGGGCGGTGCACTTCATAATGAATGACCTCAGGATTTCCCTGGGATAATCTCCAAGACAGGCTCTTCTGCTGCTTTGGGCTATAACAACATGTAATGTGATTAAGGAGAAAACACCGGCACACATTAATTTTCTAATAACGAAAGTAAAATGATAGTCAGAATGAGAGTGTGCCAGTTTGATTTGTCTCTAAAAGGCCAGAAAATGGACACCCACTTTTGAAAATGAACTTCTCTCCACCCCCATTGTTTCTTCCAGGTGCCTTTTCACAAATGCATTATTTCTACAAAACAATTATATTTTGCAAGATGATACACATGAGGCTAAAAATAAAACAGAAGTAACCCAGAGGAGCCAAAGCTTGAAAATGATTTTTGAATTATAGGGATTTAAATGGCTGTATATTCTATATAACCTGCATAAGGTATTATATACCTAGAATGCTTTCTACCAATTTAGAGGTCCATGTTTCTGTTTTAAGCTATCATTTTATTCCAGTGTCTCATCTCTAGCAGGAACCACAGCATTTTGAAATTGAGGGCGAATTTCTTTTTCTATTGTAAAAATATGTAAAGCACAACATCTGCCAATTCAGCGTTTTTCAGGTATACAATTTAGTGACATCAATTGCATTAATCATATTGTGCAACCATCGAGGGGAAATGCTTAAAAGTACAAAATGCTGTTTACACATGTATCCATAGCTGCATATAGAGGGTCCAGAGAACCACTGCAGATGAATGGTTGGATCACAGGGGAGGTCTCCTCCAGCCAAAGCGCAGCTCCAGAACGCACTCATTATTTTCTGGAAAGTGTGTGCCGAGCCTGTGGTCCAGACCCGAGAGCCAGCCATCTACCAGCAACTTCAGTGCTCTTGCTCCCAGACACCACGGACACCCTATTCACTGACCCAAACGGAAAGAGCGCGACAGGAGGGAAAAGCTGAAACTCACAGTCACTTTTTAAAATAGTAAGCGCACGCCAATCCACGTCGCCGCTGCTTTCTGAGTAGCCCATCCACCCTCCGTGCCTGGTGATTCTCTACAAACTGGCTTTTTTAAAAGTAGGGATTAAAAAGGAAAAAGCAGAGAGGAAAAGGTGGGAGGCTGAGTATTCACCAATGCGTTTTAGAAACGCCCTTACCTCTCCAGTGTGAAGATCGCTTGGAGCGCTGGGCCCAACGAGACGCCGGCCTCCGGTAGCCGCCCCCCAGCCGCCACACACGACCGAAAGCAGAGGCCCCCCTTTCGGAAAGGACCCGGGCACCGCACCGTGCGTCCTGGGGCGACGAGGGCGCTGACTGCAAGGGGATGCGAGCCTCTGACTGCACGCTTCCTTGCAGACCTGGCTGCCAAAGCGCTCCAAAGTTAGAACCTGAAGTCGGGGCGGAAAAGAACTGCCAATTTAGCTTGCCAGAGTGGGCGCCCGGGCGTCTCTGAGCATTTTCTGCAGGAGCAAGAGGCGGGAGACAGGCAGCGATCCGAAGCGAAGACTGGCGGGCACCTCGCGCTCCTGTTCCTGCAGCGGCGGCGCGCAGAGGCTGGCGCTGAGCGCTTCCGCGGCTCCCTGGCGCTCCGGCCATTTATTGAGGTCTCTGCGCGCGCACGTGACGTGTGCGCCCCTCCTCGCCGACTCCAAACTCCGTCCGCCCTGGCCTAGTGCCCGCGGGAGGAGAGAGGAGCAGGCTGGCCTGCTGCTCCTCGGGCCCAACGAGGCCCGGACCCTTGACAGTTCTGGGCGTGCTTTGAGCTGCAGAGACAGGGGCGTGGAAGGTCTGGACCCTGGGGAGGTGTATGCAAGGAGGGTCCCCATCTCCTCCGCCTACCACAACTCCCCTGCTTTCAAAGATCCTCCACCCTATTCCTTCCTGATAAGATGCTAAAATGACTGGCAATCTTTCCTGAAAAGGAGCTGCCCCAGAGAGCACGGGCTGGCGGTGGGGATGGGGTTAACACCTTCAATCTTGGACACCCAGAAGAGGAACAAGAGTGGAACTGGGAGAGAAAGACTTATTCGCTTTTCTGTAAGAGACCGCTTTGCTTCCCGGACCTCATGTCTAGAATTGAGAAATTGTTTCCTTTGGCTCGGTTAAACCTTGATGATGGCCCGATGAGAAAGGGACATCAGAAAATGACTGATAGTGTGGTCTCAGAAGGCTTTCCTTTTTGACTTGGGATTATCTGAAGATTGAGAGTCTCACTTCATCAAATATTCGGCATTCGCTTCGCAGCGTCACGACGACCCTTTTTTTTCTAAGGATGTATACATTTATGGAGTTGATATACCGGGTATTTCAATTTATCTGCGCTAGGTTGACGCCGACTCAAACCTGAGCCCTAGAATAGGTAGTGAAGTGTGAAGGCAGTTTATCTGCTGTTCATTTGGTAATCTGGAGAATTCACAAAAACTCACCCTAGTAGGTAAGTGAGGTGCTCCTTCCGCAGGTACAGTCCTATTGAGAAGCTTGTTTATTTATATACCTTTACTTCCCTTCTGTAATGAGCCATAATTTCAATCGTCTTTATTTGTAAATGCTAGACTATTTGGCACATGATCGATAAAGTAAAACCTTCCAGTGGTCATTTCCAAATCATTCCAAGCTGCTACCTGTGCTTTCCGCCATCCACTTTATTTACCAATCCTAAAAACTCAGGTCTGAGCCTCTACTGAGTGTGAGGCCGCGCTTCCTCTCACACACAGTGAAGAGAAGAGAAGCATCGTCCATCAGAAGGATGCAGACGAGGAGAGGGTTTGGTGCACATCCCACTGACATAAAAGGTGTACTTTTGCAATTTTATGGCAGCTTAAGCACAAAAAGACTGGTATGTTTGTGCTTTTCAAAGAATCGTTCATAATTCTTATGCATAGATCTTGGATGTCTTTCCCTCCTACAAACTGATGGAAGACTCCAAAGTTCATGATAAAAGACCTACCATGTGTCATAGCGGCTGGAAAACGTATTTCTAGACTGCATTTCTAGACTGTGGCATAGAAATCTATGCTGAATATTGAATTCAAAAAAAATCAACAGGAATAACACTACTTGAAGTATTTTCAAAGAAAATTTAAATTAAGAAGGGAATTAAGTTGATAAGCAAATGAGGCTAAATGCATTGATAACTCCTGAATGTTTCAACTGCAAACCTTTCCACACAATGTACGAATCAGACATGTAAAGGTTTACATTAAAGAAAATAATACTTCAATGTTTTAATCCCAAGCCTTTCTCCAGGTAAGGTAAAAAAAAGTCTATCCCTTCACCCGGTGTTTCTATTGGCTTCCAATTTGGATGCGAAGGCTAAGTTTTATAGATATCGAACCCTGATGGTGCAGTGGTTAAGAGCTCGGCTGCTAACCAAAAGGTGGGCAGTTCAAATCCACCAGCCGCTCTTTGGAAACCCTATGAGGCAGTTCTACTCTGTCCTATAGGGTCACTATGAGTTGGAATTGACTCCATGGCAACGAGTTTGGGTTTTTGGTTTTATATATATATATACATATATGAATGATTTAAACATTAACCACATTCAACATGAACACTTCAATAAAATGTTCTTGTCATAAATGATTCAGTGGAAATGCCGTTTTGAAGACTCAAATCAAACCAAACACAATATTCTTGAAAATCCAAAGATGATACTGTTCTCCTGTTCCCGTTTTTATCTGTTGTTAAGCAGTAAGTATGTAGACAGAGAAGATGTCTTCTCCACAGAATTTCTATAAAGGGGGCACTTGGTTGGTGGCTAAGGCTGTTATTTGTAAAGCCGTGGTTTTTTTTAGCATTTCTACTTTCTTGTGGCAAACATTGCTGGCTGCCTACCCAAAAACCATCCTTCCAACCCTTTATTCCAAGCCCTTAGCCTCCAATTTAATGCGGGTGTTCACCCCCTCACTTGCCAAACTGTCATACTGCTCTCCCCCATCCTTAGAAGATGCCAATTGATTAGTTAAGGGCAATCATCACAATACCTCCCTGCTACCACTGACTGGTTTTGCGTGGAAAGTTTATGCAACTCTGGCTACTGAGAGGAAGAAAGACATCCGCTTGCAGATGGGACTGTGGGGAAGGGGTTGGAGAAGGTTTTCTTTTGTGATAAAAAGAGATGCAAAAGGAGAAAATGTCCTATTAGCGGCTGGTGTGTAAATTTGTGAAATTTAAATGTAGTTATTATCATGCAAAGAAGAAGAGAAAGCCTCAGAGCAGAAAGACAGACAGCACCTGGGTCTTTGTGCCATTGACCGGTTCTTGGAGTACCTACCCTCCATTGTTCTTGCTGTAAGAGATAATAGATGATGGGATTGTTGAAGCCACAATGACTTGGGTATTCAGTTCATTGCAGTTTCCGGTATTCTAACTCATACATCTCTGCAGAGAAGAGTACTTCCTGTCTGGTAAAGACATTGTTTTCTCCGTGGTGCTATTGTTTGCTGCTTATATGCAGAGTTAGGAGATAGCTTTAAACAGATGCTTTTGTATTTTTCTATCCATCACACTTGCCACTCATTTTACACACATTACACACTCGTTTAGTTCATCGTGTGTTTCCTGCCGGGCTGATTTTCGTGATCCCAAACTCAGCTGCGTGCAGAGGCACCAGCTGTTCCATTTCCACATTAATGTGAGACCATCCTCCACTGGGGAAGTGCAGGAATAGGATTGGTGACATGTCTGGGGACGTAGAATCAACGTAGGGCAATGTTTTGTTAAAATATGGCATTTTAAATTAAGCTGCCTGTGTTAGAGTCACGTATTGACATTTAGTAGTCAAGAGACCTTGATTATGCTGCTTGGCCTCTGTGGTCCCTGGATCCTTCCTCTTTAAAGAAGGATAATTCAAAAAACCAAACCCATTGCCTTCAAGGTGATTCTGACTCATAATGACCCTGTAGAACAGAGTAGAACTGCCCCATAGGGTTTCCAAGGCTGTAAACTTTATGGAAGCAGGCTGCCATATCTTTCTCCCAAGGAGTCTGGTGGGTTCGAACCGCCAAACTTTCAGTTAGCAGGCAAAAATGCTTAACCACTGTACCACCAAATAATGGTAGCTATTTCACTGTCATTTTGTATATTAAA